GAATATTATTCAGCCATAAAAAAGAATGAGATCTTGCCATTTGGAACATGGGTGGATCTGGAGGGTAAAATGCTAAGTGAAATCAGTCAGAAAAAGACAAATACCATATGATTTGATACACATGTGGAATTTAAGAAACAAAGGAAAAAAAGACAAAAAACAGACTCTGGGTGGGGGATGGGTGAGATAGATAAAGGGGATCAAGTATACACTTATTATGATGAGCACTGAGTAATGTGTGGAAATGTTGACTCACTATATTGTACACCTGAAACTAATATAACACTGTATGTTAACTATACTTCAATTAAAAAAAAGAAAAAAAAATTTGGTTCTATGGATAGCTCCTATTTCTGAAATCATGAGCCCTGACTCTGATTTTAAGAGTCATAGGCTTCTGGACACCTCAGCATCTCCTAAGATTCCCTCCCTGCAGGAGGTAGATGCTTACAAAAACTTTGTTGATGGAGATAATTGGAGAATGGAAGAGGGCCATTATATATGCATAGGACTTTTTCATTCTCCAGGCACTTCAACATCCATTGTTTCCCCTAAAGGCCAAGTAGGAGTTAGCTGAGGTAGATTCCAAGTAATGACTGTGGAGTGGGTCTGACTGAACTGAACCCAACAGCTGTGGGCAAACACAATCCCTTCATTTTTAAATAAGACTCTCCACTGTCTTTGACAATCCCCCATTCCTGCTTGGCAGTGAGGAATGTGTCTCTTCCCATCTGGTAATTGCATCCATGTCAGTAATTTTTGAGACACTGGAGTTCTAAAACATTCTTGGCAAACATTAAAAATCCAGCCATGATGAACTCAGTCCCTATCCTATTCAGTGTGGTTTCCTTGCTCCCTCCCTTCTCCCTTCTGACCTCAACTGTGGATACCTGGGGATCAACCAGCGAGGTCAGCAGGAGGGCAGGGAGTCGCTCCCACCAGCGAGGGCACAAGGGTGGGACTAGGAAAGAGCTGTCTCATCTACCAGGCACGGACCTGTGCTACCCTTCTGCTAGGAACAGAAGCCCGGAAATGCTATTATAAAGAGGAAGGCCTGATGGCATCTCTAGGCAGGGTCTTGTCCCAGCAGAGATGTTCAGGCTGAAATTCAGTCCTCCTGGCAGCAACAGCACTCCTCTGTGGTAGCTACATGACAGCAAACAACTGCATCTGGAAGGATTTAGGGGTGAGATTGACTGACCGTCATGCTTTGTGTTCTCACCACGCCCAGAGAAGACACCTGTTACAGCCTTTGAGTACTTCATTGCACTTAACTCTTTGTACGTCTGCCTCCTTTTCCTGTCTTCAAACACAGAGCTAGTCTCTGGTTCATCCAGATCTTCAGCTGCTGGCCAGGCAGGTCAGCACATAAAGAGATGCAGGTTGTTTTCACCGTAGACCCAAGTAAGTGCCGGGTCCTTTGCAAATGCTCAATTAATGTGAGCTGCAGTGAATTTTATAAATTATTATTCACTCCATTTCTGTTTATTATGCACGTCTAGGGAAGGTTTGCTGAGTGAATGATGAATATAGCACATGTTTGTACCTGGAGTCCTTCAACTCCAGACTGTTGGGCACCAGGCAGAGCAAATGACTGCCGGACATCTCTTCAAGTTCTACTTGACCTAACTGTGATTAGCTGACCCAGGGGGACTTCTCCAAGTCTCTCAGCTTATATATTACTTGTATCATTTTTTCACTCAACAAACATTGCCAAAGAAGGAAAAATGCATTGTCTTCTTTGGTCTTCATAAATTTTCCAAAAGGAGGGGGATTTTGATTTCAGAACATAGGAAAATGACTTTTTAAAATTTATTTTTATTTATTTATTATTTTTTTATTTGAAAGGAAGAGAGCAAGCAGGGGGAGTGGCAGAGGGAGAGGGAGAAGCAGGCTCCCCACTGAGCAGGGACCCCGGGATAACGACCTGAGACGAAGGCAGACACTTAACCGACTGAGCCACCCAGGCGCCCTGGAAAATGACTTTTTAAATAAAAGAATATGTTTTATATTGCTCAATACTAAGTAGACAGAAAGCTATAAATGGTGACACCTCCCCTCCCCCTGACTTCGGTGTCTAATAGGAATAAAGTAAGTCGTCAATATGCATTTAGCTACTTGCAGGCTTGAAAGCAGGATTTATTATTATCGCAATAATAAAAAGCAGATAGACTTTCACACTTCCCAGAGTGCTTACGCATTTCGTGTGTCAGCGCAGCCTCATGGCACCTGTTCAGGATTTGGTGTGGTCATATCCTCAGTTGTAATGAAGAGGAACTTAGGAACCAGCCAAGGTCACACAGCTGAGAAGAAGAGAGCCGGGACCCCAACCAAGGTCATCTGCCTGCCACCAGACACGTGAGGGAGCAGCAAAAGCAATGATCCATCAAACCTTTCCCTTTTGCTTTCTACTTTGGGACATTCTAAGTTTTTATCAGGAGCAAGAGGGCTTAAAATCAACTCTTTCTTTTAAGGTATAGATTTATTTCTCAGTTCAACCCTAACTTGATATTCCGGACATGATTGCCTCTTGATGTGATTAGTATTTATCCTTTCCCATTTTATTATACTTAAAGTGACTGCACATGGCTCCAGGTAGCGGGGTAGAGCACACTTTACTCATCGTACCCCCCCCGCCAAGCCCTCTGGCAGCGCTGTCTGTGGTCACGGTCTGCCAGTGTGCATGCTGGAGCACACGGCAGGCAGCGGACAGCAGGTGGGATCATCTTCCCGCTGCAGGCACCTTGCCAATCTGGAGGAGAAGCCTTTACAAGATCTATCATTTTCCTCAGGTCTGGGGCCACGGACCTAGCCTGGTGCTAGCTCCACCAGAAGACTAGCTGCATGCTTCAGGTAGAGTGTTTCTCAAGGGGGCACTATCACCATTTTGGGTGAGATGGTTCTTGCTGGACTAAGACTGGCCTGTTCAGAGCAGGATGCTTAGCACTCCTGACTCTTGCCCAATAATGGCCGCTAGCGACCTCCAGCTGCTGCAGAGCAAAATCAAGGAGGCAAACGGTGCCCACCCACCCCAAAAACCCGACCTGTGAAGCAGTACTGGCCTGGATGAGATTTTGCAGACATGGGATATAGTCGCAGACTATATGTTCAGGAAACCAAGGGTATGTAAGCCGTGGCTGGTGGGTACAAGGTGGGTCCTGGAGCAGACAAGTTTTGAATGATTCCAAATATTTTTGCTGATGAAATCGTCTCCACATTCAGCCTCTTCACTTCTCAAAAGTGAACAGGGAGTTTGCCAGAGGTGTGTGACTTTTCTTCAATATCATGACAGGGTTAAGAGCTAACATTTATGTAGGACTTACCTTCATAGCAGGCACTATTAAGTGTTCTACATGTGTTAACTCATTTAATCCTCCCAACAACCAAAATTGCAATGAGGTGGCTATGACTGGTATCATCCCATTTTACAGATGATGAAACAGGCACAGAGAGGTAAGTGACTTGCCCAAGGTCACACAGGTAATTAACCAGAGAGGTAGGATTCGAGTCCAGCCTCTCTGGCTCCAGAGCCAGATTGTAACCATCCATGTCTGGATGAAGATCTGGAAATGAGATTTCTTTCCCCCCAACATTCAGCTATATAGGTGAGCTCACTACAAAGGCTTCAGCTGTGAGATAAAAAACATGTTGTGTTGCTCTGAGGTTGGGAGTTCTCTGAGAGATGATGGGCTGTGTTTTAAGCATCAGGAATAGGATATGGAATCATGATCTGGGTGGAAAGTGTGCTTGGTAAGTTACAAGAACAGACTTCTCAAGTTTTTTGATCTCATGACCCCTACACTCATAAACATTATTAAGGACCCGCATGAGTTTTTGTCTATGTGGGTTATTTCTATCGATGTTTATTATAGAAGAAAGTAATACTGAGAAACTTTGAAATCCTTATTTTAAATCACTTAAAAACAACAATAATAAATTCATTACATGTTAACATAAATACCATACTTTGACAAAAATACATATATTTTCCAGAGCGCCTGGGTGACTCAGTCAGTTAAGCATCTGCCTTCAGCTCAGGTCATGATCCCAGGGTCCTGGGATGGAGCCCCGCATCGGGCTCCCTGCTCAGCAGGGAGTCTGCTTCTCTCTCTCCCTCTGCCTACCACTCCCGCTGCTTGTGCTCTCTCTCCTTCTCTCTCTGTCAAATAAATAAATAAAATCTTATATATATATATATATATTTTTACCAAAACAAAATAAATTAGTGAGAAGAGTAGCATTGTTTCCAGTTTTGCAATCTCTTCAATGTCTAGCTTGCTAGGAGACAGCTAGAGCCTCATCTGCTTCTTCCTCAGTCTGTTGAGATACGTTGTTTAGAGGAAGTATGTGAAGAAAAAAATACGGCCTCATCTAGGTATGTAGTTGGAAAAGGGAGGAGTATTTTAAAAATCTTTTCAGATAACTATAGATATTCTTCTCTGATAACAATACCTGAACTCCATAAGCAATCGTTTCTTAAAGGTTAGTTATAATAAGGAATCTGAAATCATGTTAATGAACTTATCATATACTGTTATATTAGAATCCACTGGTCTGTCTCGCACTTTGAATGGATCTTTTACCCATCCGTGACTGTGTAATACTATACATTGGTCATTTGGAAGATACTGATTCACTGGCAAGCAGGTCTTTCAAAACTTGACGTATTTCATTATATGGTATCCCACAGTCACATTCATTAATATCACTAACCATCTCATCACAAAAGTATTAAATTGTGAAAACTTAATGTAGCAGACACGAGTTTTCCAAAATTGAAAGCTCTAATCTTATCATTGGCAACAAATACTACGGGTTCTTTTCCTGGAAGTGACAGGCTTACTTTACAAAAAAATCTGCCGCACACTGCAGTTTGAATAAATGTGGTTTGTCCGTCAATCATTCTTTCAAGTAAAAAAGGCATTCTATGAAAAAAGGTCCTAGTCCAGCTCCCACGCAACTCACACAAAAGCTTTTCTTAGAGACACACTAGCATACTTTGCTATGCAAGGTGCTGTACGAATGCTTTCCATTTTGTTACGCAGAATATTAAAAAGATGTATACTCGAGGTTAGAGATTTAATTAAATTAATACTATTTACTGCATTATTCAAGTCATTCTCAAGTGAAATTGACTTTTTTTTGGACTCCAACTCTATGTGGTAAAGAATGCAGCTAGGTGCCACTAGGGCATCAGCATTTTTTTTTTAAGATTTATTTATTTATTTGAGAGAGAGAGAGACAGAGAGAGTGAGAGAGAGCACAAGTGGGAAGGGGGGGGGAGAAACAGGCTCCTGCCGAGCAGGGAGCCTGACCCAGGGCTCGATCCCAGGACCCTGGGATCATGACTTGAGCCGAAGGCAGACGCTTAACCGACTGAGCCACCCAGGTACCCAGGCACTAGCACTTTTATTCACCATTGCTTTTCTACCATCAGTGCAAATATCACCACAGTGAAAAAGTCAAGAAATGTCTTAATGTTAATAGCATGGTCATTTTGACTCTGTGGAGCCCGCAGCAGGAGTCTTGGGGATCCCAGCAGTCCACAGATCACACTTGGAGAACCACTGTCCTATACTGTCACACTCACCCAGTGATAAGCAACAAGAATGAACAAAGAGTGTGCTGGATTCAGAATCAGAGGACCTAAATCAGTCCTTGATCCACTCCTTACTATCAAAGTGACTTCGGATGAACCACTTAATCTGAGACTCAGTGTCCTCATCTGAAAAATGGAATCAACACAACCTATTGTTCAAGGGTATTCAAAGTTAGGCACCAAGTACATTCTAAAAATCTATTTCATTCACCCATCAGTTTCATTCATTTCCCCCAGAATCTTATGGGAGGACTTAAGAGACAGCTATGTCAGTGTTTGGGGGGTGTTGGGAGGTGCATTCCTGTGGAAGAGAAGGTAATCGTGAGACAAGGGTGCCGAGGTGGGGAGCCATCATGCCCCACCCCGATACCGCACGAGTCCCTCTTCTGGTCTGGCCTCTCAAGGGGGCAGCTGGGGGAGGCCGAGTCCAGCCTCCTGAGACCACGGCCAGTGCGGCTCACAGCCAGAGGCCCAGCAGCCTGGTGCTAGTGCCCTCCCTTCCCCGCAGAGCCCACTGCTGGCCCGGTATGCCCGCCCGTCTGTGTGCTGCTCTCCTACCCAAGAACGCGCATCAGAGAGCCAGATTTTAGAAGTGATATTTTTATATGGAAACCACCACTTACCACGATCCTTACAAACTTCTACTTTAAGCACATCACCCCCCCACACACACCCCCCCACACACACTGCAATCATTTATCAGTAATAACAAATTCTAGTGGCAGACCTCACAAAAGGTGGAGACAGCCCAGTGAGTCACACACTGACGCTGGGAACTGCAGTTTGAAATATTCTTCCCCCTCAGCACGCTATCCTGGGACCTTTCTTCCGCAGATCCTCTCTCAACTTGTGGTATTCTTAATTTGCTCTTTGATGTCATTCTAGGTAAAGACAAATTAAAATGTTAAATTATGAGCATGAATTTTACCATTCATCTTTGTACTATACAATGCCAGTTTTAAATGCAAATATAAGAGCAGTTAACTGCTGTGCAGAGTCTCCCAAAATTACAGAATTTACATTTCATAGCTCATGTATGCATATGTATTTCATTCTTCACCAGAGCAGTGTAAATGCCACATGAACACAAATGGAACTCAACTGTGTTTATTTTGCTTCTTGATAGGCACGCATTTTATCCACACTCTCTGCCCTAGGCTTACTGGTAAGAAGGACAGCCCCAGACACAAGGAACCAGAGGCTGTCCTTGCTGTCCTCTTCTTCTCTGCCATTTCCAGTATAATCGATTGACTACTACAGGGAAGTAACGTGAGTGAAAAAAGATAACACAGGTTCTTTGGTTGGTCATGTGTCTTAAAACACCCCTGCCTTCCTTCTGCATTCAAAACAATTGTGGTTCAAACAGGGAGGGAACCTCTCAGGGTGGTCAGCTCCCTGCTTCCTCAGTCATAGACATCACACGCTTAACTTCTCACTCTCAGTCCACTGACCCTCCCACACATCGTGAGCACTCTGGAATTCTGTGCTCACTGGGCATCCTGAGCACTATATGTAAATGGAACAGCAAGAACAATGAATCTATCTCCTCTGCTCATGGACATGCTGCATTGTCCCATCAGAATTCATGTGCGAAACACAAGTTCAAACATAAAATTATTAAGAATTTCAAGATGGGGGGTGCCTGGATGGTTCAAGTCAGTTAAGCGTCTTTCAGCTCAGGTCATGATCCCAGGGTCCTGGGATCAAGTCCTGCATCAGGCTCCCTGCTCAGCGGGAAGCCTGCTTCTCCCTCCCTCTGACTCTCCCCACTGCTTGTGCTCGCTCCCTCTCATGTTCTCTGTCTCTCTGTCTCTCAAATAAATAAACAAAACCTTTAAAAAAAGAAAAAAAGAATTTCAAGATGGTAACAACAGAGATTTAAACCCAGCTCAGGATCCTCTTAAGCACAGAGCACTATGTGGCTCTTGGGTCACATGCCCATGAAGCTGGCCTTGCCCATGGTCTGTGCTCCTGCCACATGGGCCCTGCAGATCCCTTGGGCGAAGGGCCCTAGGGATCTGCTCCCCTCCCTGAAGCTCACTTGCCTCCCTCCTGGCCTGGGCATGTTCCTCCTCCTCCTCCTGTGATCTATTAGCTCAGCTGTCACATCCTTAGGTAGGCCTCCCTGCCCGGCTGACAGGTCAGAACTTCCTCTGCCCCGTGGAGCTCTCCTTCAATCACGCATCATGGTCACCTTCTTCATTTAGGGCTGTGAGGATCAGATCGCTCACTGTCCTCCCACTGAACTGCCAGCAGCATATAGGCCGGGACTAGGTCTGGTTTTGCTCCTCAGTGTGGCACCAGGACTGGGCACGTGGTCCCTAATTTATCCATGCAGTGAACAAATGAATGAAAAAATGGATGACTGTTTTTGCACCTGGAACACAAGTGTCAGATAAAGAGGTGGGATAAATGAGCATGGCCTGAATTCTAGTGTTTGTTCCCAAGAGGCTAAATCCTGTCTCAGTCCGAGCTGGTGAGACTCCGTGAGCATCCTATGGCCCTTGTTTACTTGCTGTCTCTTCTAGGTAATGAGTGCTTGACAATAGGCTGTCCTTGCTTCTTAAGGGATCCAAGTCCTTTCCTTTGTGTCTCCGGGCCCAGCACGGTGCCTGGCGCTTACTTGGCTCTCAGAAAGTTCTGGTCTTATTGAACTGAACTGAGCTGGACTTAGATGAAACGTGTGGCCCTGAGGCTTCCTGTGTCTCTCCCTCCCCCGTGTCTCCTTTTCCTCCGTCCTCTCCTTCCCTCTTGTTAAGGATTTCTGAGTCTTGAGAACCACTTTAGCGGTGATCAAATATTTCTAACAGAAAATTACCCTCATTTATTTTCGGTTTAACTCGACTCTTCAAAGAAAAATGGCATGATTGGTCCTCTAATTATGTGGTGGTTGGGCACTCCAGAGACTGCCCCAGAACCAGGTTGGGCACATTGGTTGATAATATTGCCATATTGGCATTGATCTTGGGAATGTAATCACAAGGCAGGTACTTCAGAAGTTCATCCATTCAACCCCAGCCAACTCAGAGCAGAAATTAAACAGGAGAACCAGACTAAACCTGCTGTTCCGCCCTGAGGGGCTGCAGAGCTAACCTTGTCGGAGAGCCGGACAGCGACGCCACTGATGCTGAGCAACAGTGGCCGAATGGGACCCGTCCTTCTTGTTAGGCCTGGTCTGCAACCTGCCTGTCTTGTCCATTATTCTGCCCCTACGTCTGAGAAATGGCCAGAAGGGGCTGTAGTGAAAATGGAGTGCCCATAATGAAATTGAGGATAGATGAAATAATAAAAAATAAAAGCCTAGAGGTAAGACGGGTATTGATTGACCATCTCAGAAAACATTGTTAGTAAGAGATCAGGGCATGCTTCCTGTATGTAAAATGGGGGATTTCTCTCCAGAGTGAGACTTGAATGGGAATATAGAATGCTACTGGAAGCGATCCCAGTGCAGCCCCCTTGAAGTTATGGGGCTGCTTACAGAGGGTGCCATTGCCATGGAGTAGAAGGGGCATGGCTCAGGAGTCAGCCATACCTGGGGCTTCCACCGACTTCAGCTCTGTGACCTGGAGCAGGTGATAACCTCTCTGATTCAGATTCCCTTTCCCTTCCTCCTCCTCCTCTTCCTCCTCCTCCTCCTCCTCCTCCTCCTTCTTTTTAATTTTACAAATTGGGATAACACCCCTGCCTCCAGGTTTGCAATGAAGATTGAATAAGGTCACCTGGGTGGAGATATGGAGCTCGGTGCCTGGTGCAGAGCAGGGCTACAATCATGTTACCCCTTCTCCCCATGGTGTCAGGAGACTCTTCCTCTTTGAAACAGCTGGCCACGCCTGGACTAGAGGCAAGAAGACACCTGGTTGCCCTCAGAGTGAGGACCCCCTTAAATTGTGCACACTAGGCCCCTCACCCTGGTCCCAGCAGTGTGGGGGGACAATGTCAGACCAGGGTTGGGGCATCGCAGGGTAGACGCCCTCCCCCTACACCATCTCCTGGGCCATTTTATAGGTGACACAATTGAGACCCAGGGTCAATCTAATTTGACCACAGCAGCAAGTATGTGGTAAACCCAGGATGTGACTCCGGGCCTCTGGCCTCCAAGTCTTTGTTTTACCCCCCAGTAGCCTAGAGCTGAGCTCTTTGCTGCCTGTGGCATGTGATGCTCCACACACACCCCACCCCCCGCACCATCAATGGGTGACATGGTCACCCCAACAAGACAGGAAGAGAACGTGTCTTAAGTTTTCAGTCATTCCCAAGGCACTTACTACAGAGCTTACTTGCAGTCGGGGTTCAAGAAATAAATATCCATCAATTGAGAAAAAGTTGTTTGCACAGCCTTATAATTTTAATGCAGAGAAATAGTTATAATACACATTAACCCAGCTGAGGGGGAGAAATACATTAATTTCACAACATGTTCAGCTCTTTAAGAAGTTAGCTTTTCAGGCTCCACGGGGATCTGGAACTAGGACTCACCCCCACTGTTATGAGAGAAAATTGCAACTGAGTGGTGCCCCTCTCCCCACAGGGAAGAGGTGGGTGGAGAGACGGGGATGGTGGAGGTAGGGGGAGCTGGCTGCAGCAACGTGGGGGCGTTTAAGCCAGGACAGGATAGAGCAGTGCTGCTCACATTTAGTGAGCAAACAAATCACCTCACCAGGGGCCTGGTTAAAAAAAAACAATGCAGATTCTGATTCAGGAGGGCTGGTGGGTCCCGGGGGTCTGTATTCTTAATAAGTTCCCCACAATGCTCTTGCTGCTGGTTCAGAGGGCAAAACACTGTGAAAGCTTTGGCCTTTTCCTCTTTCCTCTGCAGTCATTTATCTTGAGGCTGTGGGCAAAAATCCTTCTTCTCACACTGGGCAGAGGGCAAGTGGGAAAGCTGCTAGGAAAAGCAGCAAACTAGGACAATCAGCCAGCCCCCCACCCCGCCCCAGCACCATGACTCCCCTTTTTCCCTGCCGGATACACTGTATGGGTGACATTTCTATGTGTGAAACACTTCAGTTTTACCATCCTTGAAATGAGCATGTTGGGCTGGGTCTCCGGAGGCCTCTTCTTCTAGTTTGACAATTCTTTGTGTGGAGGAAATGGCCTGGAGGTTTTGGGTTTGCAAATCTGTCCAAGAGAAATTCTGTCTTCAGTCTGGCAATTCTCAGGATCCCCATTCACTGTCTTGCATCCTTCTGCAGGGGAAATTTGTGCCTTCAGAATCCACGGCCAGGAGCTGCCCTTCGAGGCCGTGGTGCTCAACAAGACGTCAGGAGAGGGCCGGCTGCATGCCAAGAGCCCCATCGACTGCGAGCTGCAGAAAGAGTACACATTCATCATCCAGGCCTATGACTGTGGCGCGGGGCCCCGGGAGACGGCCTGGAAGAAGTCACACAAGTGAGTGGCCCGGCAGGGCTCCCTACACCCCTCCCACCCCCGCCCACACTGCTCCTCAGGTGTGTATACCCCGTGGTCACACCACGGTGCTCCAGGCTGCTCAGCCGCTTCCCTGTGCTCAGGTGTCACTTCCTCCGAGAAGCCTTCCCTGAGTCGGCCCATCCCTGCAGACCTGGCTGGGACCTTTCTCTGGGTTTCTGCCATGCCACACGCTTGTCTCTGTCCCAGAACTTTTTAGTTTGGGTTGGAACTCTCTCCCTTATGGAGTTTGGCTCTGAGCCTCACACGGAGTCAGAGTGGTTAAATTCTTACTGAAAGGAAGAGAGAATGAACAGAGGAGGAGTGAATAAGGGAAAGGGGAGGTGATCTCCAGGGGATCGGTGCCCAAAGCTGGGTAGCAGGGAAGGCCAGAGAAGCGGCGGGTTCATCTCAGGACCAGGGAAGGGACAGGAGACGGGCTCTCCAGTGGGAGGGTGGACCGAGCGCTCAGACAACAACCATCCCGAATAGCTGTGGTTTCTGTGCAATCTCAGCGCTGGGACCGGAGTCAGTGCCCATGGGAGGTGTGGGAGGACAGTGTCATCCTCCCTTTACCACCGCCTCTTCCTTCCTGTGTGTGGTCCCAGGGCCGTGGTCCACATCCAGGTGAAGGACGTCAATGAGTTTGCTCCCACCTTCAAAGAGCCAGCCTACAGGGCGGTCGTGACAGAGGGGAAGATCTACGACAGCATCCTGCAGGTGGAGGCCGTCGACGAGGACTGCTCCCCCCAGTACAGCCAGATTTGCAACTATGAAATCGTCACAACTGACGTGCCCTTTGCCATTGACAGAAATGGTGAGTGTCCTGAGAGGCCCTCAGTGCGGGGCGGGGAAACACCTCCACCACCCCCTCAGAAGGCCAGATGGGGGCTCTGAATGTCCGTGGCAGGTGATGACTCCCTCGCCATCCGTGACCCGGGCTCTGTAACCCAGAACTCAGTCCCACGCTAGAGGGGATGGCCTCGTATTGTTAGCAGCACAGCCAGGTCTGAAATCCCCCAAACACCTCAGAAACCTACTCAGTGCACACTATGTGTAGAACTCGTAATGCCACACATCTGGATACTGAAGACAGGTTTTCTGGTAGAATTTTCCAATTGCCATGCCATCAACTCGGCCATATCTGATTCCCTTTCCTCTATCACCAATTGTGACATCACCCCTAAGCCCAGTCATCTGCTTCCTGCTCTCAGACCAAAAAAACAAAAAAAAATGCTAAAAGAGAAAGTAGAGATTTTTGGAAACACCTTCTGAGCTTAGATTCATTTAGGAATCTTAATGGGCTTGCCAATGTCCTTTGGGAATTTCTACCGTAGTGAGAATGAGGAATGAATGAAGCCTCCCACCATACCCCAATCCAAAACTGAACTTACTGAACTGAAAACAGTCCTATAAAGCCACTTGTGTATTTCCCCATCACCATTAATAAAAAAAACTTATAGTGTAAACAGCTCAGCCAGAGGCCCAATCAACTCAGCCCACTTTAAATGCAATTTTCAATAACTCCATGTTAATCAAATGATAATGACTTGCCAAGTATATTATTGAATAGCGTGAGTGAAACAAAGCATCCCCGCTTTGTTTCAAATAGGATCATATAATACTGGCACAAAGATGCAAAAGTTGCAAAACCTGAAGTTCATCTACTCTGTAAATATGGCCTGAGTCCTGGCATGGTGCTGGGAACTGGGAATGGAGGCAGAGTGGAACTCAAAACAGACATGGGCCTGCCCACATGTAGCTTACCATACAGTGGGAAGAAAGTCAAAATAACAAATAGAAAGTCAGGTGGCATTGAGGGTGAGGGTGATGCATAAAGCCTGCCATGAGCCAGGGTGAGGCAGAGGATTTGCTTGGGGCTTCCGGGTAGCCAACGTCTAGAGAGAAGGAGACCATCAGTCACCTGCTTGCACGTCATTAGCGCTTCCAGTGCTCCTTGATGTCAAGACCCGGGAGAAACTTATCCTGTGACCCGGTCTTCTGCATCCTGAGAACTGCAGCAGGTTCTCAGGATGGAAGGGGATGAAAGCCAAGGAGACACCCTCATCCCTGGCCTCCTGTGGTTTATGATCTGCCTTGGACGACGAAAGCAACATTCATAAAACAGACAAAATAGTAATAAGACAGTTTCCTTGTAAAATGATAAAACATGTGGAAACCGACAGTTGCAAACCTGGACATAGCTAGATGCTCACTGTGTGGAACACAGGATCAGTGCATGAGTGCACAGGAGGGTACAGGAGAAAATACTGGACTTTAAAGATTGGTTCAGGATGAAGAGGTAGGTAATTTCACTCAGTAGAACCTATCAAAACTGCTTCCTGATAGCTTTTCCTACAGGCCCTGTGATGTGTCCAGCTTGTCCCCACCACACAGACACATGTCTCACACACATCACACACACACACACGCACACACACACACGCGCGCACACACGCGCACATACCACTCCATAAAACACAAAACAACTGGTTTGTCTTTTCTGTTCCCCTGTGACCAACTGTGTGGTCCCCATGCACAAAAGCTGTGGAATTTGGGGAGTGATGAGTCCTTGGTGAAGAGCAAGACGAGACAAGTGCTGGGCTCTGTGATGAGTGGTCAAGCTCCTCTTGACCGCCTGCCTTACTTCCGGAGAGTCATAGCCCAATGAGAGATGAGATGCAAATCCTTTCATCTGAGGGTAAACTGCCCCAGTCATGAAGATAATTACTCACCTTGATGAGCCATTTCGCTAACATATGCCAATTTATTTCCCTAGCTGTCTCATTAAAAGTGAGTAATGGTCCTTTGCCAAGCCTCTGCCTCCAACATTGGTTTACAACATAAGATGAAGAGGAGAGTGGGCACTCCCAGGGAGTGTGGGCCCCCCGACAGCGAGGTTTACAAAAGCAGTTCTCCAAGTAATGAAGGCAGGACCTGGGGGCAGACACAGAAACGGCTGCTCCCATTCTAATGAGCTTCCCAGTTGGCCCTGATCCATCACTTCTCCCAGCGACCTTCCGGGCTCCTTGAAGAAGTTCTTTGCCTGCATATCAGAGAAAGTACTGCTGAGTTCGGGGTTCCCTCAATGAAGCCCCATGACTGCAGGGAGATGGCTCCTGGCCCCTCCAACCTTCCAGGCTCTTTGTTTGGGGGAGAAAGACACGAAGCAGGGCAGGAGAGAGGATAGAAGACATTACGTGGATTCCGCCCAAATTGTCTTAACCCAAAACTGAACCTCTTCCTGTCAGAGGTCATCAGCCCTCCCTCTGCTTGAATTCCTCCCCTGTGAAATCATGGCAGGAACCGCCCCTGCCTCCTTGAGGGGTTGTGAGGTCTCAGGGAAGCGGTGCCCAGGGATGATGTTCACAGGGTACCAGGCAGAGAGGGAACGCTCCATTCATGGTGCCACGATCATCAGATATTTACCTGAGTGATTGGGACATGAAGGTTATTCACTCCCCATGGATTTCCAGGCTGAAATTAGGAGCAGATAACTGAGTTGGTGACATCCACTCCTTCTCAGGAAGTTCTGGATTCACTTCAGGTGGCTTTCCGGCCCCCATCTCCTGGTACTTGGCTGGTCTCTATGAGATCAATAGGGCCTAGATCCTCACTCTCGTTGAATGCATGAAAAAGAACTGAGTCCTAAAGTATAAAGAGCTTGCCTAACAGCACCTGTCACCCTGGTGGCAGAGTTGGGACTAGAGCCCAGATCCCCTGAGCGTTGGCCCCTATGCCTTCCACCAGTGATATTGTCCCCAAACTCCTCATGATGTTTGACGGGAATGCATGGCTGTGGTTTTTAATTTCAGAACTACAAAGTTGCATCTGAATCCTGCATCCATTATTTGTGTGTGTGTGTGTGTGTGTGTGTGTGTGAGAGAGAGAGAGAGAGAGAGAGAGGGAGGGAGAGATCTTTGACAAGTTACTTAACCCTTGCCTCAGATCCTCATCGGTAAAATGGGGATGAAATACCATGTGAGGTATCGTGCCTGTGCAAGAGGTCGGACGCTCTGCCAGCAAGGCTCTCGCTGGCACACGAGGCGCACAAACCGAGCCCTCGGCCCCATCGGGGATGACCAGAGGGAGCAACTGTGTGGTCCCCAGGCAGCCTCTCTTGGCCAGCAGGCTCCCCTGGTGAGTCATGGGACTCTGCCGCCTCTGGGCAAAGTGCTCCCTAGAGTCTGCTTATTTTAAAGTAAATGAAAACATTTCCTTTCCATCTGAATAGAAAAGTAACGCATGCCCTTTGTAGGAAATTTGGAAAGCATAGAAAAGTGGGAAGAAGGAAATAAATCACCTGTAATCCCACCAAAGATAGCCATTATTGACAGTCCACTGCTACTTTTTCTGTGAAGTTTTTTTTAACAAAGTAAGGCCACACTTTCCTTGTTTTTCTTTATCCTCCCTTTTTCACTTAACGTTCAATTATACGGACTTTTTTCCGCCCTTAAGAATACTTCAGGGGGCGCCTGGGTGGCTCAGTTGGTTAAGCGACTGCCTTCGGCTCAGGTCATGATCCTGGAGTCCCTGGATCGAGTCCCGCATCGGGCTCCCTGCTCAGCGGGGAGCCTGCTTCTGCCTCTGACCCTCCCCCCCTCTCATGTGCTCTCTCTCTCTCATTCTCTCTGTCTCAAATAAATAAATAAAATCTTTAAAAAAAAAAAAAGAATACTTCAGAATTACCACTTTTAGTGCTAAAATCATCCCATCCGATGCAGAGACTCCTTTACTTAGCTCTTCCCGTACTAGCAGACATCCAGTTTATTATTTTTCACTGTAAGAAATAATACTTAGATGAACATATTTGCACCTGTATCTGCAATTTTTATCATTTTCCCAGAATCAGTTTCTTAGATGTGGAATTGCGTGCCCCAAAGGCATGAGCAATTGCAAAGTGACTAACCTATATAACTTTCCAAAGGGGTTACTCCAATTTAAATCCCATTGGAGAGAGGGTGCAGGTCAGTCAGCATGCTGGTCTCATTGTCCTTCTACCCTGCCTCAGTTGTTTTTTTTTTTTTTTTAAAGATTTTATTTATTTATTTGAGAGAGAGAGCACATGAGAGGGGGGAGGGTCAGAGGGAGAAGCAGACTCCCTGCTGAGCAGGGAGCCCGATGTGGGACTCGATCCCGGGACTCCAGGATCATGACCTGAGCCGAAGGCAGTCGCTTAACCGACTGAGCCACCCAGGCGCCCTACCCTGCCTCAGTTTTAAAATACCCTCACTAATGGGGCACCTGGGTGGCTCAGTCAGCTAAGCGTCTGCCTTTGGCTCAGGTCATGATCCCAGAGTCTTGGGATCGAGCCCCACGTCAAGCTCCCTGCTTCTCTCTGTCCCTCTTCTGCTCCCCCTGCTAGTGCTCTCTCTCTCTGTCAGATAAATAAATAAAACCTTTAAAAAAATAAAATAATAAAATAATATAAAATACCCTCACTAATATGCAAGGTAGGTACTGATTGTTCTTTGAGAGCTAGCTTCTACAGGTTCATCTGGACCAGAGAAATAGGCCCAGGAGTCCCTACTCACCTGGGTTAACCGTGGCCTCAGGTCTCCTAAGAAGACACTACTAGGAGAAATCATTCAAAAGTGGGGAAAATAATGCAGTTGTAACAGAAGCAAAATGGGTGGCTTTTTGAGCTTCCAAACATTTTTAAATGTGTGCTTGTCCGAATAGGACTCTGCCGGGCACAATCATCAGTCACAACATTAGACAGGTATATTTGACCCAAGGCTTCAAATTCCAGTCTGCGAAACCCACTGTCACATGCATGAAGCCGGTGGTGGCGGAGAAAGCACATTCGTTTCTGGGACAGTTTCACTAGGACTTGCTAGGATGCTCCACTGCCACACACAGGGCCAGGGATTTCGGCTGCGTGTTTATTTATTTATTTTTTTTTTTTAAGATTTTATTTATTTATTTGACAGAGAGA